AGCAGCTGATGCACATCTGCAAGCTTTTTTTTTTCTGCCAGCTAGAAAATTCTGGTAACGAGAGACTGATCAGGACATTTTCTACCGTTGGATTTTCTATTGTTGTGCTTCTGTGTTGAGAGCAGATACAGGAGGGATTTGCTGATGTTTTCCAATTCCTGGGGTGCAGGATTCTCAGCGAACAGATTCCCTGGGGATAAGCGGTGGGAAGAAAGCTCAGGGGAGGACCACAAGGGCTTCTACCCTCAGGACCTGCTGGGCTGATCTGGCTGGGGTTGCTGTTCTGGGAAGTGAGGCTCTTGCTTGGGGGGCTGCTGATACCTCTGCCTTTACATCTGCAAGTGCACAAGCATCCGAGAAAAGAGGAAGATTCAGGATTAGCCAAGGGGAAAGATTATTACCATTCTGTGATTATTGCTGAAGGGACAAGGCTGGGATTTGAACAAGCAAGTTGCTCGAAACTCCTGATAGGAACCGTAAGCACCACGGGGTAAGTGTGAGGGAGTCGGGGCAGGTTTATTTCACCAAGTGCTCTCCAGCTGATCCCACCTTGCTGCACAGAGGGGATAAAGCTCCGCAGCTCCCCAGCTGTGACCTGGACACCACTGGTGCCTCTGGACCATCTGCGTTTCCCAGCAGATCTGCGCTCGGTGGAGCCATTGGCTCCCCACTCCCTGTCCTGGGCCAGCGCTCCGCAGGGTGGCAGCTCCCAGCTGTGGGGTGCTCTGTGTCCGGAGGGTGCAGAGCACCTCTGGTCCTTGCACTGGTGCAGCCCCAGTGCCCGACCTGCCAGAAAGGCACCAGGCTGGACCCTCTGCTAGTGCCAACCGGAGCAGCTCCCCTGATCGCAATGAACATCCAGCAATCAGCTGCAGAGGAGTGAACTGCTGTGCTCACAGCAGGTTGATTCCTCTCCTTCATGCACCTGAGCACCTCTGCCAGGATCTTCCCACCCAGGGTCTCTGCAAAGCCCAGGGCAGGCCAGCTGGCTAATGCTCTGCTTTTCCTTCGTATGCACTTAATTAAGGCATTAGTGAGGAGAGACATCATTTCTCCCCATCTCCTCCCCCTATTAAGGATCCAGCTGTTTTTTGAGGTGAAAGCTGATTTTCTGGAGATTTTATGGGACTCTCCCAGGCACACACTTCCCTTTGCCCCTTGCGCACAGCACATGGGAGCTGCAGAAAGGGAATGGTTCAGCCCCACATCTTCCCTGCAAGTCTCCTAAGACAGCTTTAAGCTCCTGGCAGAGGTAGGAGACCACAGGGCACGATCTGGCTGCCCTGGCACCTGCCTGGGAACACACTCACACCTGGGTGCATGTTTGCACATGAGCAACCAGGAGGGACTCACCGAACCAGTGAAACTGGTATTGCTGGGACAGATCTTTCCCATTCTGATTCTTTTATCTGCGGTTCAGAAATGATTTCATTTTGGCAGTGAGCTCTAACACCTGAGCAGCACGGCCGGGAGAGGGAGGAGCAGCTCCCTGATGAGCCCTCCTCGCTGGGAGCAGCACCCACAGGTGGGGCAGGGACGAGGAGCCAGGAGGGTCCCCACTGAATCGAGGGTGGCAGGGATGAGCAGCTGCTCTCAGGGGCATCGCGTGAGTGATCTGCAAAGTCAGAGCAATTTGTGAGTGTTAAAAGGGGCTGGGGAAGATGGGCAGCAAGGACAGAGATCTCTCCCTGCCAGCTGGGCTGCGGGTGAGGCGGTTTGGAATTTAGCAGAGTGCCTGAAATGACAAAGGTTGCTCCAGGGAGATGTAGCTTTGGGGAAACGATGCTTCAGCAGGTTACATCCCCCCATCCCTCCGACTACCCCAAGCAGGTCTGTCCTCCCCCAAAGGCTGCTCTTGGCTCATCCTCTCTTCCAGAGGCTGGGATGCAGCCATGCCATCTAAAGGCAAAACCCAGCAAGGGAAGATAAAGCAGGAAAGAAAATAAACTTTTACAACTTCTACCTGTTACAGATCTCCCTCAGACAAAGTGCCCAGATCAGAGGAAGACTATGATGGCTGGATCCTGGGCAGGGAGGGATGGGGACCCAGTGCATCTCCTCTGCGGGCAGGACGGCAGCAGCAGGAGGTGCCCCCCAAGCCTGTGAGCCTAGGCCAGCCCTGGCTCCCCGTCACCAGTGTGATCGGGGCTGAGGCGTGTGGATGTCCCCGTCCCCAGTGAGCTGCAGACTTACTTTGGTGGTGGCTGTGGGGGTTCCCATCTTCCTGGGCACATAGTGGCAGGCTGGCGAGAAAGGGGAGACCCGTCTGCTCGCCGCAGCAGTGCAAAACACTGGCTACCCTGAAAAACCCTCCCCAGAGAGCCCAGAGCTGGACGTCTTCACCTACCACGGGTCCAGCAGATCCTCACCCATGGTAGGTTATGGCCAAAAGTAACAAAGGAAATAGAGAGGATGGGATTTAATGGGGCAAAAGGGAGTTACTATGTCTGGTGTCCTGGTTGCGTTTCAAACCACTCCAGCACCAGCTGCAAGCCAAGGCCATAAAACATGCAGAGTATTTACAGTGCAGAAATCCCTCTGAGCTAGCTTGTGTCACACGAGAGGTTTCCTTACCATTGATAATCACTCAGACCATTTTGTCCCGGGCTCAGCAAAGCTGTCCTTTCCAGCCAGCCTGTCTCCCCCTTTCTTTTCTCGCTCAGTCAGCTCTGCCGTGCGCGTGTTTCTTTACAGCCTGGCTTCCTCCTGCCTTCCCTCCCGCGGGGATGTTGCTTCAGCAACATCTGGTCAGGTGCGAGGAGAGGCTCAGCTCAGTGCTGCTTACGGGCAGGGCTGTGCCATGGTGGGAATGGGATCCCTGCACCTCCTGGAATGCAGAAAGCACCCCGAGCATCGGCTGCGGGCAGTGGCACCGAGGTTTGAGCCAACCATGCCAGAAAGGTGGCTTGGCCTTGGCTGGAGGAGCTGCTGGTGGTGCTTTGCGGCTGATAGAGGGCCTGGGTTGGAGATGTGGGGACATAAACCTTGTGCTGCGAACCCTAAGCTGAGCTGGAGAGGATTGCTGCAGCGGTGCTTTGCTTGCGTGGAGCAGGGATGAAGAAAGGGATGTTTCTTCTCCTTTCCTGCCACTATCTGAACAGTGCAGGGATGTGAATGTCCATCTCTCCCCAAGCCAGCCCTTCAAACCCTCTTACAGCACATCTCGTTGTGTGCAGGGGAGGGTAAGGGTGACATCCCTAGCAGACAAGATGTAGGCAGCAGCATTGGTCTTGGTTTCTCCAGGCTCCTTCCCCCATACCACCTCCGGAGCACTGCTTGATTTTTGTCCTCGGGGTCACTGCATCCAGCTGCTAAAGAAATGCAGGTTTTGTGCACCCCTTGCAAAACCTTGCTGTTGTTTATGCTGGGTATGTGTTCCTTCATCTCCAAGACAGGTGAATGCTGAAAGCTTCTGCCTTGCCCTTTGACCAGGGCAATGTGCTCC